TGCCACCTTAGGTGTATGTGGCTGGCACCTTAGCCGCTTGAGCCATAGGCGCCGAGCCTTTTCTTCAATTTTTAATGAAAAAATCTAGGTCCATGGTTAGAAAATCAAACAGTACAAAAGGGTTTAGGAAAATGGTTAAAGTGATTCTAATCTGCTTCTGCCTGCACATCCCAGCTTCCCAGCCACTTTAACCATTTTTGTTTTGTGTGGTTCCCAAGGTGAAGGATACTTTTGACCAGGCACCAATATGCACTGTGCGCATAAACAACGATTCAGAAACTTCAGTGATAGGCAGTGTGTGCTCTGTACAGACTGCAGGCTGGCAGAGGACAAAGGGTAGACTCTTGGAGCTCTTCACATACTTTTGGGGGTGGCACTGACTGCACAGCGTATATAGGTTGTTCCACAAGTTAAGCTGGACAGGGCAGACTTCCAAATTCCAAGAGCTTGAGTAGGATCCCAAAAGAGGAAGAGGAGGATTTGAGTGGCTGTGGAGAGGGAGATATTCTCAGCAGCTGGAGTCAATTCAGTGTATTTGGAAGAGAGGAGGGGGTTTGGCCAGTAGGGGTTTTATTCTGAATATTTTTGAAAGACAGAAACATTTTGTAATATAGCAAGAAGCTCCCTTTCCAATTCTCCCAGGACCTTAGAGGTCATAGCATGGAGCAGCAGCATGGATGAGTCTGCATTGTGGGCCAAACTCTTTGGTAATTGCTGCTCCTTCAGGGTGCTGGGTTGGTTCTAGCTGTCTCTCCCAGCAGTGGTTGCAGCGTGCTGGGCTAATGCCTCCAACCTGTCTGCTGAGGAGCACGTGTGGCCCAGCCTTTCTCACATGTTCTCCTCTCATTTGTTTTTCCTCCCACACTGTTTTTAATGATAGAATCTATTTTTTTTTTTGAGACAGAGCCTCAAGCTGTCCCCCTGGGTACAGTGCTGTGGCATCACAGCTCACAGCAACCTCCAACTCCTGGGCTCAAGCGAGTCTCCTGCCTCAGCCTCCCAAGTAGCTGGTACTACAGGTGCCCGCCACAGTGCCCGGCCATTTTTTGGTTACAGCCGTCATTGTTGTCTGGCGGGCCCGGGCTGGGGATTCGAACCTGCCACCTTAGGTGTATGTGGCTGGCGCCTCAGCTACTTGCGCCACAGGCACTGAGCCAATGATAGAATCATTTATAGGCTCTGCGCTTGTGGAGAGCTGGCAGGTTCAAATCCAGCGTGGGCCCGCCAAACAACGTTGGCTGCAACCAAAAAAGAGCTGGGAGTTGTGGCGGGCGCCTGTTAGTCCCAGCCACTTGGGAGGCAGAGGCAGGAGAATCGCTTGAGCCCAGGAGTTGGAGGTTGCTGCGAGCTGTGATGCCATGGCACTGTACCCAGGGTGACAGCTGGAGGCTTTGTTTCAAAAAAAAAAAGAAAATCATTTATAAAAGTAATAACTTAGCAGTAGACAAAACATTTAGAATCCTAATGCTCTAGTTGCTGTTTCTGTTTGAAAAAATATGTGGAAGCATGGGCGGCGCCTGTGGCTCAGTGGGTAGGGGCTGGCCCCATATTCCGAGGGTGGCAGGTTCAAACCTGGCTTGGCCAAACTGCAACAAAAAAATCGCCCGGTGTTGTGCTAGGCTCCTGTAGTCCCAGCTACTTGGGAGGCTGAGGCGAGAGAATTGCCTAAGCCCAGGAGTTGGAGGTTGCTGTGAGCTGTGTGACGCCATAGCATTCTACCAAGGGTGATAGAGTGAGACTCTGTCTCTACAAAAAAAAAAGAAAAAATATGTGGAAGCAACTTACGTTCAATGCAGCTTAGGTAGTTGACCGTGTTGCCTCTAGGTATTCCCAGAGATGGTTGAGGTAGCTTTTCTTTCCTTCTGTACTGTTCTGGCTCTGGTGTCTATTCTATTCTTGCCAGGCTTCCTGTATTTTAGTACCTGTTTTGTGAAATTTGGCCAACTTATGGCCTTTTCAATACCAGTAATTGGATCAGTCTGTTTCTAGTACCCTTGCCTTCTGGCAGACTTGAGTATCTCTGTCTGAGCTCCAGCCCACCTCCCCGAGTAGCTTGGCATCTGTGCTGTACTTGTTTGCAGGAATGACGGGACAGAGTTTGGTGGCTCCATTTACCAGAAAGTGAACAAGAAGTTGGAGACTGCTGTCAATCTCGCCTGGACAGCAGGAAACAGTAACACTCGCTTTGGAATTGCAGCCAAGTACCAGATCGACCCTGATGCCTGCTTCTCGGTGAGTATCTGTGGAATATTCATCCCATGAGCCTGCCTGCCCCTCAGGTTAGAATTCTTCAGGATTGCTGGAGTATCGTATTTTAGATTATTAGAGATTTTCTTACTTTGAAGAGTTCTAAATGAGTACAATGATAATAGAGATTTTCTTACTTTGAAACAATTTACAAATGAATTCAGTTATAATAGTGAAAGTACTTGCTATGGACTGTGGGTTCCAGGCACTGTGTACAGCCTTTTATGTGTGCATTATTGGGTTTAATCTCATTTGAGATAGGTGTGCTTTTTTTTTTTTTTTTTTTTTTTGAGACAGTCTCAAGCTGTTGCCCTGGGTAGAGCTGCCATGGCGTCATAGCAACTTCCAACTCGGGCTCAAGTGATCCTCTTACCTCAGTTTTTCTATTTTTTTTTTAAGTAGAGATGAGGTCTTGCTTTTGCTCAAGCTGGTCTTGAACTTGTGAGCTCAAGCAGTCTACCCATCTGGACCTCCCAGAGTGCTAGGATTACAGGTATGAGCTACCGCACCCAGCCAGATAGGTGTGCTTTTTAAAAAAATGTTTTTAAAAATTATCCCTGGTTTTACAAATGGGCTGGAGGCTTAGTGAGGTGGAGTAACTGCCTAAAGAGACACAGCAGTTAAGTGCTCGGGCCTGAGCACTCTTGCCTGGCTTGCTCTTGAACCTCTTCCTTTAGCCAGTCCCTGTTCCATGATGTAGACCATAAAAAGGGGTGCTCTGAAACCTAAGTTTGCTTTTTTGGAGACAGAGTCTCATGTTGTCACTCTGGGTAGAGTGCTGTGGTCTCATAGCTCACAGCAACCTCAAACTCTTGGGCTCAAGTGATCCTCTTGCCTCAGCCTCCTGAGTAGCTTGGACTATAGGCACCCACCACAACACCTGGCTGTTTTTTAGAGATGGAGTCTTGCTCTTGCTCAGGCTGGTCTGGAACTCCTGAGCTTAAGCAACGCACCCACCTTGGCCTCCACAATGCTGGGATTACAGGCATAACACTGTGCTGGGCCTCCTGAAACTTTGGTTCTAAATGTTCTTCTTTTTTTTTTGTTTTGAGACAGAGTTCACTTTATCACCCTCAGTAGAGTGCAGTGACGTCACAGCTCACACAACCTCCAACTCCTGTGCTTAGGCGATTCTCTTGCCTCACAGCCTCCTGTGTAGCTGGGACTACAGGCACCCACCACAACGCCCAGCTATTTTTTGTTGCTGTTTGGCCGGGGCTGGGTTCAAACTCGCCACCCTCAGTATTTGAGGCTGGTGCCCTACCTACTGAACCACAGGCGCCACCCCTAAATGTTGCCTTCATTTTTCTTTTCCTTTTTTTTTTGGCTGGGGCCAGGTTTGAACCTGCAACCTCCAGTATATGGGGCCAGCGCCCTACTCCTTTGAGCCACAGGTGCCACCCAGTAACAGTTTTTTTTGAGACAGAGTTTTATTTTATTGCCCTTGGTAGAGTGCTGTGATGTCACAGCTCACAGCAACCTCCAGCTCTTGGGCTTAGGCAATTCTGTTGCCTCAGCCTCCCAAGTAGCTGGGACTACAGGCGCCTGCCACAATGCCCAGCTATTTTTTTGTTGCAGTTCAGCTAGGGCCAGTTTCGAACCCGCCACCCTCTGTATATGGGGCCAGCGCCCTACTCACTGAACCACAGGTGCTGCCCTTTCTTTCTTTTTTTTGGTGGGGGGGGAGACAAGAGTCTCAAGCTGTCGCCCTGGGTAGAGTGCTGAGGTATCACAGCTCACAGTAACCCCAAACTCTTGGGCTTAAGTGATTCTCTTGCCTCTGCCTCCCAAATAGCTGGAACTACAGGGACCTGCCATAACACCCGGCTATATTTTTTTGTTGCAGTTGTCATTGTTGTTTAGCAGGCCTGGGCCAGGTTCAAACCCACCTGCCTCGGTGTATGTGGCTGGTGCCCTGCTGAATGAGCTCTGGGCACCACCCTGCCCTTCATTTTTTATTTTCTGTCTTAGCTGCGGCATTGCATGTTAAGAAATCGGCGGTCAGTTGTAGCATTGCTCATGGGCACTTGGGTTGCACCACAGGTTTTGCAGTGGATCCCGATGGGTTCATGTATGTTGTCACAGGGCACTGTAGGCTATAGAGTGGAATGAGGAACTCTCACATTGCAAAATGGATTCTGTACTGGTTTGTGTAATTTATGGAAAGTCTATTTTAAGATTCCTGAATTGGTAACTGAATTTAGCTCCCTTATTGTTAGGCACTTATAAACAAGAGAAAGGGGGCCCATTATTTATATGGAAGGAGACAAAAAGGAACAGGTAGAAGGGACACTGGTCCCCAAGAGGTCTTCCTTCTCTTTGCTTTGTTCTTATGAGGGATGTCAGATCTCAGAACACCATTTGAGTAGAAATCATGCACCTAAATTTGAAATATTTCAAATTGAATTTAATATGAGTCCTGTGAACAAGGTGGTCATGAAAAAGGATACTTTGATTTTTAAAGTCTAGAGTTGGTTGATTAAAAAGTTTTTACTTGTTTTGAAGATGGAAGTGCGAAGTACATAACATTTTCCTTCTGTCTTGTTTTTTCCTGACTAGGCTAAAGTGAACAACTCCAGCCTGATAGGTTTAGGATACACTCAGACCCTAAAGCCAGGTATGTGTTGGTTGTGTGTGGAATCAGTTCCTTGTCTTGAAAAAATAGTGCTGGTTTGCTGATTCATGTTATTGCTTATGGAATGCTTAAATAGTAACATTGTAAATGAGTGTATGTAAAGTTTATAATTAAATGTTTATAAAAGAGTACAAAGTCATTACAAAACATTTGGAGACTATGAGTAGTAGTAGCAGGAGAACAAAAGGCCATGGCTAACATTTTTACATTTTTGGTTATTTTCTTCCATCAGCTTTTCCAGTGTGTACATAATTGTTATTTCTAGGAGGTTCTCAAAATGAACTTATACATCAGTCCCATTTAAAAAGACAAAGAAATAGGAAAAGTGGTGTTTCCATTGGCGAGGAGATAATATCTCCTTTGAACCCTGGAAATCTAAGATTAGAGGCTATTGCCTGGAATCAGGCCACTCCAGGAAAATCAGCTTGTGTGCATCTGTGGGTATGCATGCAGGCTATGTGTGTGTGCACACACACTGTGTCTATTAACGTAAAGCCTCAGGTCCGATTCCGGATTGGGGTTCATTGCAGGGGAGGATCACAGAAGAAACTTACTGCATAGTACCAATGGCAGAGATGCTAATTGTAGCAAAGGGACAATGAGAGGAAAGAGTGGATTTGAATAAGCTTTCTGGTCAGTGGGATAATTATACAGTAGAACCTCCATAGTTGACTACCTCCCTGCATTGACCACCTTGTTAAGTTGATCAAATTTTCACGGATCAGACATGTACAACATGTATGTATCAGTACAGTAGGCCAAGTTCCTTCTGTTGAGCCCCTCATATGTTCACAAGTTTGTTCCAGTCTCCTGGGTGGTCACCTTACAGAGGCTGTACTGTCGTTGTTTTATATACTCACGTTAGGATCCTGTTCATCAAGTAGTGTTAAATAAGAAGGATTGAAGGGCTGTGTAGGTTGGTCCTGCTGATAACATGTGGAATAGGTTCTGAATTTGTGTTAACCTTTCTTCTCTTATCTTTCCTCCATCTTTCCTTTCTTCTCCCTGAAGGTATCAAACTGACACTGTCAGCTCTGCTGGATGGCAAGAATGTCAATGCCGGTGGTCACAAGCTTGGTCTAGGACTGGAATTTCAAGCATAAATGAATACTGTACACTTGTTTAAAC